ATTACTCAGTTGGGGGATACCAGCATGATCCAGACCCCAGGAACATGGGTTTCAGTGAGGAAACCTCGGAAATCTACGGGACCTCCTGTAGTATTTCAGTATTTATCCCCGGCATAGGTGTGGACTTTGGGAGCCCATTCCACATAGAGGGATACTCCCTGAGCCAAGACACATGGGGGTGGGCCTAGGCCCTATCCCAAAGGATATGATAGACTCTGATGACACCCTATGGAAGGCCTCACCATCCAGGGGGAGCAGAAAGGATATGTGATAGGTAGGGTTTTAGTTGGGGGGGGTAGTAGGGGAGGGTGGGAGGGAGAAGGGAACTGGGATTGTCATGTAAAACAATCTTGTTTCTAATTCAAATAAAAGAAATGGGGGGGATTACTCAGTTGGAAAGCTGAGCTGAGTGTGGTCTTGCCCTGAGGCCAGCACTCATTCCCTTTATCCATTTAGCATTGGGCTTTTCTTTAAACTTTTTATCTCCTTGAGCACAGGACTTAGCCCCATTATACTTCCAGGTGTTCCTTTTCTCCTCAAACCATATATTTTTTGTTTGTTTGTCCTTCACTTACTCTTTTCAGTTCTGCATAAGAGTGACCACACCTACTCCAACAAAGCCACACCCCCTAATCCTCCTTAGGTAGTGTTAGTCCCTAAGGACTAAACATTCAAATACAGGGGTCTGTGGGGGCCATTCATATTCAAACCATCACACACACACACACACACACACACACACACACACACACAGTCAGCTGCCTGGTCTACACAGGAGTGAATGGGGAGGAGACACTGAACACATCAAGCTTGTGTTCTAGATGGCGGTGGGAAATACCAGGGGGTGTTCACTTGTAAAAGACCCTGGCAGGAGGGCCCAAAGTGGCACAAAGGAGTCCAGGGTCCCTAATGACGGCCAGAGGAGGGAAACAGAAATGAAGGGGTCCCTAGTATGGACATTTTAAAGAGTACTTGCTGAGGAGAGAGAGGAGTATGGCCAAAGCTGGATAAACCAGAATATGTAGACAAAGACTGCAATAGGGAAGTCTTCACATTTCGGAGATTCAAGCAACAGCCTGCACTGGTGTTTCATTTTTATTTTGAAAGATAAATGAAATGCTGCTGTCAACACTTGGGACAACTGAAGACAACAGGGCTATGTTACACTGATTAGGAAGTGAGCACTGGCAAACAGTACCAAGTACTTAGCATTTCCTTCTCACTAAGCTCCGTTCCGTTCCAAAGTTGGAACTCACAAATCTTTGAGTAGGATGGCTTTAGACTCTTGTTAGGGATGTCAACAAGACAGCCTTTTTCAAGGCACCTACACAGCCTTCTGCCACCATGAGAAAAGAAATATTCGAGAAGCACAATAACATTTTAAATTCCCCCCTAGTGTTACAAAACGAGGAAAAGAGAGCAGTTTGAATTAGCATCTTCAATGTGGTGTGAAGACTGAAATAGCATTCTTTACCAACTAATTACTAAAGATAGCATTTTTGTAAAAAGGACTAATTTTTTCAGCTATTAAGATTCACAGTACAAATAGTTGAGAAAACCAACTAGAGAGATCTTAGTAGAGATGGGTGTTTGATTTTGATTCACAGTCTTATGCTGAATTTGAGAAAAAAAAAAATACCTGCTGTTTCCAAATAACTGTAGGCTGTATAGCTAACTTCAGTTGTCAACTTTGTGGGATCTAGCAACACCTCTGGGTGTGTCTATGGGGAATTATCTCAATTAGGGTAAGTTGGGAAGACCCAATCACTAATGGATGGCACCATTCGTTGGGATGGAATCCTGGTTATAGAAAGGAAGTGAGCTGATTGCAAATGCTTCTTAAACTAGAGATGCCACGTGACCGGACGCCCCAGTGGCTACCACCATGACATCACTGCCATGAGCTGTACCCTCCAACAGTGAGTCAAAATAAACCCTTTCTTCCTTAAGTTGCTTTTGTGAGAGTACTTTATCATAGTAACAGGAGAAATAACAAAGACAGGCTGGCTCTGACTTTTTTGTATTGAAGGTGATAACCCAATGCAAGCGCCAAGTCTTTGGGAAAAAAATATTCTTGCCCATACAAGTCGTTATTGACAACTATTAGTATCTTTCACCTGAGTTTTATTTAAAATATTACAAGAAAATTGATTGTAGGGTTTAGCTGGAACTCCTCTTTAAAATGAAAAAGACCACTTACTTCTTTCACTATTATGGACACACCTTTTTAAAAACAAAGCTGAGCCAGGCATTGTTGGGAGGTAGAGATGGGGATCTCTGAGTTCGATGCCAGCTTGCTCTATATAATGACTTCCAGGACAGCCAGAGCTACAGAGAGACACTGTCTCAGAAATGGGTGGGTGAGACAGCTCTGCAGGTTCATTAGACCGTCTAATGACCGGAGTTTGATCTCTGTAAACCATGTCCATTGCTGTGATGAAACACCATGACCAGACAACTTAGGAAATAACATTTAGGCTTATGGTGCCAGAGGGATGAGTCCACCATGGCGAGTAGACAGGCATGGTTTCGGAAGCAGCAAGCTGAGGAGCGTACATCTTGACCCATGAGCAAAAAGCAGAGAACAAGCCCTGAGAATGGTGTTTTTAAACACCAAAGGCCTCCCCAAGTGATACACTTCCTCCAGCAAGGACTGTTTATTCGGAGGTCTGAACCCACAGGGTGCAGGGCGGCGTTCTCATTTAAACACCACACTGTGGAAAGCTGGAAGAACGGACTCCACAGAATGACCCCATACGGGTGCACTGGCACCTGCACCAGGTACACACCACATCACACACGGTACTTAAAAATTTAAAATATATAAATTACAAATACACATACATACATATCACTGGGACTTCAAAAGCTTTTAGGATACCAAAGTCTAAGAATGACGAATTCTGGTCACCTCTGAAAAAATTAACTGCAGTTAATAACGTATTTTTTACATATATAAATATGTATTTCCCTCAATTGGAGCTCAAACAAATAAAACCCAAACCAAATCAAGAACAGTAAAGAGGAGAGGAGCAGGGAAGGAGAAGGAATATAGTATTAATTTCCACTTCCAAGACAGCAGACTAGGTTTTCTTTGTGGGGATCATGCTGACCCAGCTAAGCTACTCTGGACAACTTTGCCCAGAGGTTAGCCTCCCTGCAATGGCAAAGGCTGCCTTCCTGTTTCCTTCTTTAAAAATGTCCCTCTGCTTTCCATACTTTTCTGCATGTGGGAGGTAAAAGTTCATCGTGTACCTCAAATACTGTAATGCTGAGACTGGAGAAGTAACACTCATCTTGCTGCGGGGCATGGGTACCACACAGGAATACAGACTGCTAAAGCGGAGAACTATGAGAGGAGAACTAAAGTACCCCAAGACGGGAAAGGGGACAAAAAGCACAATTGGCGAAGCAGGAAGATAGCTTTCTGAAAGTGAAACTTCCCAACAAGTTTGGGTACAACTTTTAAGAATTAGTCTGGTGGCGTCTTGGTCGGTGTTGCATTGCTGTGAAGAGACGCCATGACCAATCCAAAGCACAAAGAAAACATTTCACTGGAGTGGCTGGCTTACAGTTCCCCAGGTTCAGTCCATTATCATGATGGGGAGGCGTGGTGGCATGGAGATGAGGTTGGTGCTGGAGCTCAGAGTGCTACATCTTGCAGGCAACAAGAAATCAGCTAACACTGGGCTGTATCCTGAGCACTGGACACCTCAAAGCCCATGCCTAGTGACACACTTCCAACAAGGCCATACCCACTCCAGCAAAGCCACGCCCAATAGTGCCTATGAGATTATGAGGGCCAATTACATTCAAACTACCACAGGTGGAGACAATGAGAAGCAGGTATCTAGAGGCTGGGGTATGGCTCAATTGGCAGAGTGCTTGTGTGGCACTCAAAGCTCTGGGTCCAGTACCCACGATCACGTAAGAATGGTAGAGACACGTCTGCAACTAAACTTCCAAAAGCAGATTCTCAAAATGTTCTCACAGCACACTGCAAACCAGAGTGTGAGTGTGAAGGTCTGGGTAAGTTACTTCTCCCCCCCGACGTGCTCACGGAGTTGAACACTCAGCCCAGCTGGAAGCCATCTAGAGAGGTTACACAACTTTTATAGTAGAGGCTTGCCACAAGACGTATGTCACTGAGTGGACTTTGAGAATGTATGGCCTCCCCCCACTCCCAATGCTTTCTTTCTATGTGGTTTAAGTACAATCAGCCTGCTGGGCAGCGGCAGTGCACGTTTCATCTAAGCACTGGGGCGGCAGAGACAGACGCAGGCAGGATCTCGGTGTTTGAGGTCAGCCTGGTCTACAGAGTGAATTCCAGAGCAGCCAGGACTACACAGAGAAACCCTGTCATAAAAAACAACCAGGGAGGGAAGAAAGGAGGGAGAGAGAGCAAGCTTCCTGCTTCTACCACCACACCTTCCCGTAATGAATGTCCATCCTCAGCAACTGCAAGACAAAACCTTAGGTTGCTTCTGGCCATTGGTATACTATCATAGCAACACAACAGTAACACAATGAGACCAAATATACCTTTTGAAAAAAGAAAAATTATACATACACACGTGGGTTCATGTGTGGGCACGAGGAAGCCATGTGTCATCATGCTTCACCTGTTCCTTTGAGACAGTTTTCCTTGAACCTGGGCTCGTATTTTCTTGGCTAGGCTGGGAGCCAGCAAGCCCCCATGATCATCTGTGCCCATGCTCCCGGATCTGGAGTTACAGGTGTGTGGGGAGCACCTGGTCTGTCATGTGGGTACCAGGATCCCAAATCCAGGCCTCATGCTTGCTCAGTAACTTCTCTCCTAAGCAGATGCTCCCCAGACCTTACTACTGACTCTGGAAAGCCTCTCCTTCTAGTTTTAGGGATCAAACCTAAGTGCACTTACTAGGCACACTCACCATTAAGCTCCAATCCTTTAATGTCTTATATTTCCATTTATTCTACAAGAGACAATCTCCAAATTGAGTATGAACAACATGGACACATTATAGTTAGAACTTAACTTTATTGTTACAACCAATGTTTATTTACAGAATATAAATCTCTTCAAAAAGATACATTCCTTCATTTAATCAATGGTAGAAAGCCTTATTAAACAGAAATAAAGCCTAAGCCGCACTTGCATCCTAACAGAAACAGGGCTTCATTGCAAGTTCATCAACACAGAACACAAATGTCACTTCAGCAGCTACATGAATGAGGCTGTTGATTTCGCTGGCAATGCCATTTTATCCACGAAACAAATTTTACTTAAATTAACAGTAGTAAAACTTAAATTTCAAACATAAAAATATGTAACAACAAAGGAAAAAGCAGGAAGTATCTCGACTAGCAACAGATGAGCAGGTTCCCCGGCACTCAGACACTGGCTGAGGCACAGGGAAACCTGGGGCAAGGGCTGCACTCATCTGCGAGGTATCGATGCATGTTCAGTGCTGAGACTATCCATAGCACTTACAGTCTATACAAAGCAGCTTTAGACTACAATTCACATTTGAGAAACACAAACTTAAGATCTATGCCACAGCTTCCCAATTCAACAGACAGCTAACGCAATACAGTTACTCATGTCAGCTTTTCCCTAGTGTGTGTAATACCGTGTCTGCTTCCTTCAATCAGGACGTTTGACCTTGCTGTACAAAGCTCCTAAATACAGAAAAGTTCTTCTAGGTTCCATTAGTTTACACTTTCTTTAGTTACAGGTAAATACAGAAGACGACTTTAGATTATTGACAATGAACACTCAGGATGTCACTACCTACAAAGCAGCAGTATGCCACAGTGCAGGCATGGCGAGCAGGCATTCAGTTCCCTCTGTGGCTCTACAGGTGTCACTGGGTTTCAACCTAGCTCTCAAAGTTCCTGGCTAGGAAGCCTGTGATTCCAATCCAATAGGTTTTCCTGCTCCACTTTGACAAACTAATCAAAAGACAATGTGATATTTCAGTTCTGTAAGGATCTAGTGTTTTATTAAGGTATTAATGGGATCCAAATCACCACAGTGGGTAAGATAACCGAAAGATAAAATAACTTTTAAAGGTTTTTTTTTTTGGTTTTTTATTTTTTTGTAAGTACATACGCCATACAATGCACAGTGGACAAAGGTGTGTTGGTGGTACCACAGGGCACAGTCCAGGAGAGAAGCCTCCAACACTGGAGTTTAAAGTGCTTATGAGTAAAGCATCAGTATTTGTTTCTAATCCAAATACATTGGGGTTTCTTCCCATATCAAATTGAGCCAAAATTAAATTTTTCAGCATAAAAACTATGCAAACAAATCTAACTCAGTTTGTAATGCCTTCAAGAATTCAAGGTAATACAAAAACCTCAAGTATTTTCTTTTACAGAAACACGGGCTGAAGGTCCCAAAACAGAGATGTTTTCTCTGGAGCAGCTGGTAACATTTGTCAAACCCAAGATTTAAAACACTGCTGTCACTATGGGGAAAGGCGGCTCGCCATCCTTCGTCTTGCTTCTCAGGACAGAAACATGCCTGAAGATGCAGCTCAGCTTCACAGTAAAGGCCATCATGAAATCTGACAGAGAAGAAAACCCACAGCAACTGGCCCTGAAGTGAGACACACTCAAGAGGCTCACCTCCACCTACGCTCACCTTCCGTGTGAGGTAGCACGCGCTGCTGCCACTAGGAAAACCCCAGCACAAAGCATTGTCGACTTTGTCAACTGGATGACAGATTAACAGGAAAATATGTAAGTCTACAGTACTCTGGAATGCAGTATAGAACGCTTAAAAGCAAGTTAGAGGAAAAAACTCAACCTGACACTACTGCCCTTTATATATCAGCTAGTGAGATGAGATCTTCAGGGTACAGGTAGCTTCTAACTTTCCTTTAGAGTGCTCGGGAGAATTCTTCCTTTAAGTCTAAAGTCATCAAGTTAAAACAAACATAGGGGTCACTGTCATAACAGACACCCTTCTCACATTCTCATACTGACCCACTCCAGAGAAACCACCTGACAAACTAAGAGATGCCATCTGCCCTACGTCTTGTATGGATGGGATTTACATTCACATTGCATTTCAGGTTTTTGTTGAAAGTGTCAGCAAACTGAAAATAGAAAAAGGGACCACACTTCAGTTTACAAACAGGAAATTACATTTTTAGTTTCCTTTACCTTCAAATTGTGACTCAGAATGAGCCTTATAAATTCACTGCTCCCCAGTATCTAATCCACCAAAAATTAATAGCTAAGGAAAAATTGGAGAAAAGTCTTATTAGGCACTGAGAGGCTAAATAAATAAATACCAACCAACATTAACTAAAACTCAGTAAACCTTACTTCCAGTTCTTGCCATTTCACTGCACAGCTAGAGGTGCGCACTGTTTCCAGCCAAACAGCAACAGGCTGGATCCAGTGACAGAAAAACTTGTACAAAGGAGAATGCAAACTGCACGCTCTTGTATTCGGGACACAAGTCACACTAATTACACTGCTTATTTACATTGTCCTATTTACACTCCAGGCAGACCTAGTTGATGAGGTTTGTGCTCATGTTGATCTCAGGCGGATCACGTCAACAGTAAGACGAGGCCACCACATCTCATTTCCGGAAAAGGGTGGTAGCACAGATTAGAAGAGGGTAGGAAAATCAATTCTCATTGGTCAGGTTCAACATCACACAGGTGTGCCGGGGAGACAGGATCGGGGTAGAGAGCAGAATGTGGGATTTTGCTTGTCACAGCATCCAGGCCACTACGGTCTATTGATTAACATTGGACATCCATGAATGCCACTTCTAACATCCACTTCCCTATTTACACAATGAGCTTACCACCAGCTGAGTGATGAGGTAAGGCATTCAAGTTCCTTAGCTTAACAAAAGAAGGCAACTGATATTCTAGAAAGCCACAGGACACATTTTAGAGGGATGCCCTTCAGAGCTGTCCCAATGTACCCTCTTTAGAATCCCTTACATGGTCAATACAAAGGAAAGACATTTTGAATCCTGTTGATAATCTACACCATGATCCCCAAAAGCTGTATGGGAAGCAGGCGCATCAGAGCACCCAAATCTGGCCAGGGAATGGGGACAACAGTTTGCATGTGCTAATCTTTTTCCAAGACCTCTTCCATGCTAGCAGGGTGAACAAGGGAGTCTCCATTGTTGCGTTCACTGCCACAGGGGTCTCTGCAGCAGGGGTCTCTGCAGCAGCTGTGTCTCAGTCGGCCGCTATGCAGTCCAGCAGCAACAGCAGCAGCAGCAGCAGCACGGTGAGCCTCCATTCAAAGCACTCTCAAGTAAGATCAGGAGGAGACTAGCAAACACTGTCTTCTCCAGTGTTTCCACATGACACATACTTGGATTTTAAGAGGAGGAAAGCAAAGACTCGGGAGGCTCACATCTTTATCATTCTATGACAATGTTCCAACCACGAATGAAAATTCCACTAAGCCAGTTCTTGTAGGTTTGCTTTAACATTGAAAAGAGCTAGTCATTATTTGTTTCCATTCAAGGAAGTCAGCAGAATTGTAATGATCTTACAGTAACGTGGTTCATAAAAACAAAAGTGAACGTTACAACATTGGGGAGGTAGAAACCAAATCCAGGTCTAACACTGTTAGAGACACATACTTAGGAGTCTATTTATGTGGCTAGAATTTACCATCTCAGATGGCCATGGTCTGTAAGTGTTTCTACTTACTTTATTAGCTTGAACACACTGAAACAATCCAAGTATTTTAAAGCACTTGTCTGAGAACTTAAGTAATGTGGAACAATATATCAGATGATGTCTTAGGATAGATCTGTATTGCATACTTTAAATATGCAGATCCATGGAGCTAACTCTGTACAAAAGCACTTATGTGACCAAAGTGCAAAGCCTGTCTGACTAATCTAAGTTAGCTGTGACTGCTCGCTCAAGCCCACAGTCTTCAAAGATTAAAGCCTTCTTTGTCTACCTCAAAGACCTAACTTCCTTCCATAGAATAGTTGCCTCCCTCTTACACCTATACAAAAATAAAAACCAGACTAACAAAAACAAGATAAAACAAGTCCTCCTACCACGACTACTGTTTAATTCACATTTTCTTATTTGTTAAGATTTTAAGTATTCAAGCTCAATGACCTACCTAAATATTCCTTACTGATTCTTCTAACTGCTTTAACAATATTATTCTGAAATTACAGGGATCAGCAATCACTGGCTGACTCTACAGACACAAAACCTAAGGAGTGAATCGTGAATCTGCATAGAAAGAATCTAAATGCTGTTCCTGGATTCCACGTATGATGAGCTCTGTGTGTTTGTTTCAAATACAACAATATCAGCTATTATCTAATGAACAAAAACAGAGTTTCTCAAGTTAAAAAAAAATTTTGGTTAGAAACAATTTGATAGGTAAATTCTAAAAACTGAGACTATTACCTTAAATGACCATATCTACATTTTAAAACATGACTTAATACAGATTTTAACATTAAATTGTTATACTTATATTCCGGGATTATACAGTAAATACATTTTATATTGTCAGGCTATGTAAAGAGACAATTTCATTCTAAGTTGTATTCCTCAAAGAAATTATTTCCAATTTCCAATTCAAAAAAAGTATGCCCTAGAGACAGTGGCTGTCTTGCTCCCTTCCTCAATGGGCACTTCTCTAGAAACTCTATAACACCCTAAGTTACTACCGAGGCAGTGACTGCCATGTCAAGAGTAAAGGATTCATTTTACAAAGGTTACACTGAATAAGAATGTTTTTCCTAAAATTAACCCCATTAACAAAACTTTTAAAAGATCTCTACAACATTCTCATTCCATACACTGAACCAACAAATAAAGATGAAAGTAGTCAGTCATGTCAAGTCTGTAATAAATAATTCACATGTAACATGGACTGTATTGCCAAAGGCTAAAGCTGACTCTACTCTTTCCACTGATGGACAAATCTCTAGCCTGCCACATACTGACAACAGTAAGCATATTTTTAACATCATTCTATTTAAAAATAGATTGGTTGTTTAGAGGCATAATTTGTAAAGCAAGATAACCAAATTAAATGAGTGTTAACAAATGTTGGCTTTTGGAATTCCTTAGGAAACACCCACAAGCACTGCTCAGCTCCTGGAGAACAGTGAGGCCTCTTCTTACTCAGGCATCTTTAGTGCTGTGACCTCAGGCTTCATTTTAAAGTACTGGTTAAAGCGAACAATGGCATACCTAGTGAGAGAGAACAAGGAACACTCAGAACTGACCTCAGTCCTTCAGCTGCTTCCAAACATTTACAGTTTCTCAAGTGCAAGCTTAGTCTGCTGCACCACCTACTGGATGGACACTTTCCGTGCTGAGCACGGATCAGCATAGAAGCCTCTACAAGGCTTTAAAGTGGGTGTGGCCTCCAAAACGCTGCCTGGAGACAGTAATGTAATGCTCCTATTACTTCTACACTTGTGTTCAACCAAGTAGAGATGGACAGCACTGTACAGTTAACATCATCTTACCCAAGGAAGTCAAACTCAATTGTGGAGTACTTGGCTTGGATCAAAGCCCAGAGTCCCCAGAAGAAATGAGAAGCCTTAAAGAGAAGAAAAATGAAGAATTATGAAATAAATTGTTAATTCTACCCTTTTCATCAATTACATGCATGGTACTTTTTTCTTCTCTACTTTTTTGGTAAATAATGAACCTAGGTCTACTGTATCTTCTCTCTTGTTAATTTTCCCACAACATAGCCAGAACAGAACACAATGAAGCAGGGCAGTTATTGGGTCACCACTGATGACTTTGTCTATACCAGGAAGTCAGAATGCCCTAGAAACTTAAGTCTACTAGTTTCTATAGCCTTTGTCCAACACAGAATTTAGCATTCCACATAAGATACAGACAGAGTAGTGGTTCACACCTCTCCATTTATTTTATTGGCTCTATTATACATACAAATCCAATACTGATTACAAGTATATCAGTGAAAACTGGATCCTAGAACTTAAAACTAATGTGATTAGAAATTGTAACATAATTCTATGTATGCCTTACAACTATTTCTTAAATGATTAACATTTTTATTTTACATGTTTATTTGAGTGCCTCTGTGTACCACACGCATGCCTGGCACCCACAAAGTCCAGAAGAGCATTTTATAACCCCTGGAAATGGAGTTTCCAGGTACAGACTGCTGTGTACCACCATGTGAGTGCTAGGACCCAACATCAGTTCTCACTTGAAAAGCAGCCAGTGCTCTTAACCAATGGGCCATCTGTCCAGCTCCTTTGTTCTTTTTGAATTACTCTCTGTGTGTGTGTGTGTGTATGTGTGTGTGTGTGTGTGTGTGTGTGTGTGTGTGTGTGTGTGTGTTGTGTACACACATACGTGGAAGAAAGAGGACAACTTAAAGGACTATTTCTTCCTTCCACCATATAAATTCCTGGAATTTTACTCTGGTCATTAGGCCATCTCACTAGCCCACAATTAATTTCCATTTAGACATGATACTTTAAAATTCTGTTAATTTAGGTCAGCAACAAAATAGTTCAACAAGGAAAGGGGCTCTAGGTCTAATCCCATGAACCATGATGGAAGAAAGAACCTACTCCCAAATGCTGCCCTGATTCCCAATGTGTGCACATACACGCACACACATACACGCACGCGGGCGCGCACACACACACACACACACACACCACACACATACACAGAATAAACTAAACATTCTTAATTCTGATAACATGCGAGTGTTCTTCCAAAGGCCCCAGACGAGATTCCCAGCACCTACCTACGCACACAACAGTTCACAGCCATCTTTAACTCAGGGGATCTGATGTGGCCTTCCTGCTTCTGTGGGCATCAGGCACACAAGTGGTACAAAGACATACATACAAACAAAACATTCATACACATTTTTTTTTTAATGCTGGTAACAAAAATGAAATTTTACTTCCCCAGAAATACTCTACTTTTACTAGAAATGCTCTAGAAAAAAAATGTTAAAAACCAGGTTTTACTTCTGGTACATCGTCTAAGGCAAAAGCAACAAGAGGGGCCAATGAGAGTGCTCAGAGCTGTAGTTCTGAACCTTCGGGTAGAGACCACTTTGGAGTTTAACCAACATTTCACAGGAGTTCACCTAAGTCCATCAGAAAACACAGATAGATATTTGCACTATGATTCATAACAATAGTAAAATTAATAATGAAATAGCAATGAAACTAATTTCATGGTTGGGGTCACCACAACATGAGGAACTATACTGAAGTGTCCCAACATTAGGGACACCCAGGAACACTGGCTCAGAGAGTAAAGTGGCTCCCTACCAACCACGCCTGACAATCTGAGTTTAATATCCAGGACCCGAATGTCAGAAGGAAGGGAAGTAATTCTAGGAGGTTATCCTCTGAAACCCATGTGCTGTGACATAAGCATGCTCATGCCACACAAAATAAACAAATACATGTAACAATTGTTTTAGTGTGCAGTGTTAGCCAGGCATGGTGTAATGGTTGTGGAGGTCTCTCCTGAAATTCCAGTGCCTGTCAACACCAACAACCATAGAGAAACGCAAATAAAAACAACAGAGATTCTCACTAAGTCAGAATGCGATTATCAAAAAAAAAAAAAAAAAAAAAAAAAAAAAAAAAAAAAAAAAAACAAGTAATCGTAAATGTTGGAGAGCAAGAACACAGAAGGGATCCCTTCTACATCACTTATGGGAATGTCAATTAGCCAAGCTAGTATGGATATCAGCATGAAGCTTTCTCAAAAAGTTATCAATAAGTCTACTATAAGACCCAGCTATGTATACTACGTCTCAGTATTCACCCCAAGATCCCATGTTCCACACCACAGAGATTCACAACAGCCAAATTATGGAACCAATATAGGTGTCTAACACAAAGGGATGGACAATGAAGGTCTCAATGGAATGTCTGCAATCATGTAGTTCTATCAGTTACAGGAGAACTGATCCAGTAGAGCTCATGTTAAATGCATTAAGCCAGTCTCAAAGACAAATACTGCATGTTTTCTCTCATTTTAGGTCCTAGGTTTTATAGATAATAAAATCATGAATGTATTGATGACATAGAAATAGAAGCAACATTGTTTAAAAAGCAAAGGGATTAAGGAAGGGAGAGGGGTGTAACATGCTCCAAGTACATGTGCAGTATTTGCATATAATAGCCTTATATAACCCTGTATAATAATACTTTTTTTTTAAATTGGGGCTGGGAAAATGGTTCAATGTTAAAAATGCTCATTGGTCTTGTAGAGACCAATGAGCACCCACATGGTAGGTAGCTCACAACCTACCAGCTCCAGTTCCTCTTCTGGCCTCCATGGGCACTGCTGCACACATGGTACACATGCATACATGCAGGCAAAATACTCATACACATAAAATAAATAAATCTAAACTAAAAAAATTTAAATTAAAGTTGGATGCTGGTGGTGTTATGATTTTAATCCCAGCACTCGGGAAGCTATTAGTTAGAGGCCAGCCTGGTGTATAAGAGCTAGTTATAGGACAGCTAGGGCTACACAGAGAAACACTGTCTCACAAAAACAAAATAAGCCAGGCTGTGGTACTAAAGCACACGCCTTTAGTAGCAGCACTCAGAAGGAAGAGGCAGAGGCAGGTGGATCTCTGTGAGTTCAAGACCAACCTGGTCTACAAGAGCTAGTTCCAGGACAGCCTCCAGTGCCACAGAGAAACCCTGTCTCCAAAAACAAAATAAATTAAATTAAAATTTGAGAGGCTAAGACAGGACCATTACTACAAATTCCAAGTGAACTTGACCAAGTTCCAGGACGGCCTGAGTCAGAATTAAGACCCTGTCCACACCTACCCACCACCCCCAAAAAAACAAACTAAAAATATGAAGCCCTATCGGTCCCATATGTGAAGACTTGGCACGAATGTCTACATCCTCACCTGTGGGATAAGGAACACACTATGCTCTACAGGTGGATCGCTAACTCAAGTACAGTACTTCAAAATACACAGAAAAACTCAAGTCCAACACTTTCAGGGCTGTCTCTGGCCTGGCTTTGACAGTCAGCTAGATAACCTGTGTTTAGCCATACATACTGTGGGAAGTCACTCTTAGGGCAGGGATGTCCTGACAGACAGGGCCTGGAGGTTGGCAGTGACCATAGGTCACCCTTCCACGGTTCCGGCCTGAGTCTCTACTTCCTGTGTAACACCTCACAGGCACTCTCTCTCCCAGGGATGAGAGAATGATGCACCACTAAAACTAGGAGTTAAAATTAACCTCCCTGAAGTCATTTCTGCCAGGCCCTTTGTGGTAGCAATGAGAGAATCACCATGAGCCCTCAGGCTGACAGGCTATGGAACTCTGAGGCCTCACACTGCCACCAGCACTAAGGCACAGACCTCAGCATGAAGCCAGTTTCCAAAGACTTCACTGGTTACAAAAAGGGGCATCGGTGTCTTTACTGAGAACTCAGGCTTCCCTCTAATTCCCACCAATGTCTGAACGCTATTGAACTACTCGACTAATCACTTTGGAATCCAGGCTCCATGTTGATCTGCACCTCATCTATGAGGTGTGCTGCCTGTGTCATCTCCTCTCGTTTCCCCCACTCTTTCAGTGCTGTAATCCCGAAAAGGGGACCCATGAAATAAGCCTTAAATAACATTATTTTCACCATGGAGATCTTTATGGCACGTCACAGGGATCCTGTGAGACAGGGGCTGAGGAGATGAGAAGCATTAATAATGTTACTAGAAACCCTCTCCACGACTCTTGGTTATACAACAATGATGAAAAAGGCAACTTGAGGAAGACCTTAAACTTTAAAGCAAGAAGAACTGAGGAAGCTACTTATCTGGTCAAACACATAAAATGTGATAAATACTTCAGGGATCAGCAAGACGAAATGAGAGTCGCTAAAAGCAAAGCAACCTGGCTAAAAGGCAGCTAGTAGAGGGGTGGTGGTGGCGCACACCTTTAATCCCAGAACTTGGGAGGCAGAGGCAGGAAGATCTCTGTGAGTTCAAGACGAGCCCAGTCTAAAAACACAACAACAAAAAACAAAACAAAACAAAGACAAAAAGCAAGAGTCTTAAAGGGAAGGTGGAGTACGTGGCTAACCCTCTGTGGCGGTCCTCCCATAGTCTTCCTCTTGTGAAGACACAGAGCAAGAAGTGAAAACACATTCACCTAACAAGTCAGCAGCATTTTGGTAAAAAGGACGAATTCAGACAGAAACTAACTAGTTTTATTCATGAACAACCATAATTTAGTATTAGACCTCACAGCATATGAACTTATTATAATCTTTTTTTTTTTTGAAAACCACACACAAATTTAGAGAAAATGCTACATGAGTCATGTGAGATAATGTTTTGTTCACTGTAAAGATTGGTCACTCTTACTGGTTTAATAACACGCTGACTGGCCAGTAGCCAGGCAGGAAGTATAGGTGGAGCTGCCAGAGTAGGAGAATTCTGGGAAGAGGAAGACAGAGAACCAGTTCCCAGCCAGATGCAGAGGAAGACATGAAAATGCTTTGCTGAGAAAAGGTACAAGCCACATGGCTAAACAGAGGTAAGAATAATGTGTTAATTTTATTTATGAGTATGTCAGTAATAAGCCTGAGCAATAGGCCAAGGAGTTTATAATTAATATAAGCCTCTGTGTTTATTTGAGACTGAACAGCTGCAGGGTGAGGCAGGACAGCAACTTCCATCAACAAGTAATACTATTAGAAAATTTAGCCAATGCAGTGGCTCAGTGTTTGCCATCAAGCCCAAGGACCTGAATTCAATTCCTGAACCTACATAGTAGTGAGAGAACTCATACCTGTAAGTTGACCTCTGACCTCCATGTGTATCATGTGTGGCAGGTATACATGTGTGCACATGCACACAAAAATGTAATAAAATTTTCAAAAATAATTTTTTCCTATCAGAACATAATAAATGATATGGGGCACAGACACGCTAGCATTCTCCACCTTACTTCGTCACACATATGTATCTGTGAATATAGGGGTGTAGAGATGTGTGTGTGTGTGTGTGTGTGTGTGTGTGTGTGTGTGTGTTTGCGTGTGTGTAGGCCATTGTCTATGGTGTCTTCCTATCTCTCTATATCTTATACACTGAGGAAGGGTCTCTCACTCAAACCCAGAGCTCACCAACTGAGCTAGCTAGCCTAGCTAGCCAAATGGTTCCAGGAATCCCAGCTTTTTCCACTAGGTTCTATGGATCCACACTCTGGCCCTAATGCTTACACAGCAAGCACTTTACTCACTGAGCCATTTCTGAGACAGGAGCTAACCAAGTAGATGGGCTAGCTGGCCAGCAGGCCCAAAAAGTCACCTGCCCATGCCTCTCCCTAGAGCTGGAGTTACAGGTATATATGGCATGCCCACTGCTACATGGGCGCTGGGAATCCAGTTCTCAAGCTTGCACAACAAGCACTCTGCTCACTGAGCCACCTCTGCAGTTCTCGTATAGAAGACGTTCTGTGACTGTCTGCAGGAGCCAGCAGGGCCAACCACACCTGTAATCCCAACACCAGGGCCTGGACAACAGGGAGGAGGACACATGGGGCCAAGTAAATGTATTTAAACTGCAGTAAGCTCTTTTGTTTATTTTAGTTTGGCTTAGGTTTTTAACTAAGGCTTGCCTTTCTTGCTGTATGGCCAGACTGGTGGCAAAACCTGGAATTCCACTACATATGCTTCCCAAGAGCTAGAATTGCAGGCAAGCACTTCCATAAGGATGTTTTTCCTCCTTAAGTCACATTTAAGTTTATTTCTAATTACACTTTGCTAAGAATTTTAAATAAATATGGGTGTTAAGTTTTACCAAAAGCTGTATCTTTTTGTTCTAAGTTGCAAGCCTTTTGAAGGACTTTAATAGTACACTTCAATCTTTCGAACAAGCATAGCAGTAAGTGCTCAGCACACGATTAATGAACCATGTGCAGATAAAATCCCCGAACTACAACAAGCATGCAAGCACTGCAGGGAGTCTCCGGTGCGGTCACTGCACGGACACCAAGGACTTCACTGGCAGCCCCATCAGACAGCAGCCACCACATCTGAACACACACTCATCTGAAGTGTACTCTGCGGGAATCTACGCTGCACAAGACTATCGACAATCTAGCTGCAGAAACACGATGGCGGTGCTCCCAAAGACAACTTTACAGAACCATATTCAAAGCTATAAAGCAGCTGAAGGAGCAGGTCTAGTTACTCAGTAACCAGAACACATCAGCTACAAGCTATGCTGATGAACTGCAATATTCTCAGAAGACAACCAAGTGTTATCAAACTAAATGCAGGTAAAGGGAAATGAGTGGATAACACAGAGTACATCCTTAAAGCAAGGTAAACTAAAGAGCAAACTGTAAACAATCACATTTTCTCATTATTTTAAACAGCAAAATTCACTAAACTTAAGAACTCTTTTGTATGATGAAAATTTAGTGAACTGCATTAGAAACTTTTCATTGACTCTATTTAAACTTACCAATGCAAACTGATTGACTTGAATGAAGAGTGTCTCTACTTCCTTTTCAGTGACTTCACTGCCAAAGCCCTTATACTCCTTGTAGGCTTCAAGGTAAGAGCGCAGCCACTGGCCCTGGAGTTCTCTATCTGGATAGAGACTATAGTCTACATCACTGACACCTGAGGAGAAACAGACTATTGAGAAACACCCTTCAGCATACCTAAGTGCCAAACACCAACTTTTTAACTGAAAAGTACTGAAACCTTTCACTTCTGTTAGCAAAACCTTACTATTAAACAACGGACCAGCTGACAAAGGGAGTGGCGCCATCAGGAGGTGTGACCGTGTAAGAGTGGGTGTGGTCTTGTTGGAGTTAGTGTGACAATGTGGAAGCGGACTTTGAGGTCTCATATATGCTCAAGATACCACCCAGTATCTCAAACCACTTCCTGTTACCTGAATGATGTAGGACTCTCAGCTCCTTCTGCAGCACCGTGTCTGCCTGCACACCACCATGTCCCACCATGATGACAATGGAAACCTCTGAAACCATAAGCTGCCACCTCAATTACATGTCATTTCTTTGTGGGAGGAGTTGTGCTCATGCTGTCTCTTCACAGCAATAGAAAGCCTGTTGTGATATTTTGTTTGTGTTCTGACAAATAAAGCTTGCCTGGAGATCAGAGGACAGAGGTAAGTCCCTAGCTAACCAGACAGGTCTGGAGGTCTGTACAGACTGGAGACAGGAAGTGATAAGGGGGAGAAGACAGGATCCCAGCCCTTCTGGCCAGAGGACTGCTAGAAGTAAGAAGTCTCTCTGGTGGCTGTCTGCTTTGATTCTCTCATCTTTTCCGCTTTCACTCTAGTATCTGACTCTGGGTTTTTATTAAGACTGATTAGGACCATGCATCAAAACCCTAACTAGTACACTCATCTGAATGCTGCCCCCCTGCCTTCTCTTCCACTTACATATCCAAATACTACCTAACATTCAGGTTTCAATTCAGCTTTCCCCACAGAAGTTCTAAGACAATTGTGGCCTCCTCCTTCATAGCTACAACACTGTGGGCGTCATGCAAGGATGAACTCTTTTTGGTGGGTGGCGTAGGGGGTCGTGGTTCAAAATAGGGTTTCTCTGTGTAGCCCTGGCTGTCCTGGAACTCACTTTGTAGACCAGGCTGTCCTTGAACTCGGAGATCCACCTGCCTCTGCCTCCCAAGTGCTGGCTTCAAAGGGTGAATTCTTATCCTATACAAACCCAAGTTGCCTATGGGACAACTGATGAAAATATGTGCAGTACATACGTTGGCTGTGGCATATGTACAGTAAATCTGGTAGGACTAAGTAACTAGAAACAAAACTATGGCCTAGCCTGGTAACCTGAAATATATGGAAAGACAGGGATCTGTTGCATGTGCAAGTTCAGTAATGAAATATTCTCTCATCAGGAAAAAACCCCCCAAAGGATTTTCTATCTTTTATACAAATCCTAAATAGAGTCATGTTAATTATATTAATTTCATTTACATAAAAATGCCTTGTTTTATAAGTAATTATAGATTAAAATTCAGGAGTAAAAATGTTCAACCTTTTAATAGCTATAATCAAAACAAAACCATCAGAAGTCTGTGCATTTTGTTTAAAAGCATTTTCAAGAGCCAGGCTGCTGTCTTGTGCTGGGGATAGAAGCCAGCATCTTTGCACATGTGATAGGGACGCAAGGCTAAAACCCTGGGCTCATTCCCTGCAGCATTAGTGAGCTCTTCTCACACAAGCCACGGCTATCTCCCTCCTGGGCTGTACTTTCCTATGACAAATAAAGGGAAAGGTCTTCTCTCCACATAAACCAAGCCGGTGGGTAGAGTTGGTGTGCCACTCCCACCCAGGTACTCATCTTTAAAACTACCCTGGAACCCCGACAGTGATGTGTGGGTCTCACCTGCAAATTCATTGAAATGATTTCCAATATCATATGCCAGGTAGTTGTATCCAGAATACTCATAATCAATGAACTGTACTTCACCTATGTGAGACACAAAAACAAAGCAAATAAGAAATCACACACATGATCAGAAACCCCTATTCTATCTGTAATGCAATCCTTCTCATACTGTGTCTCAATGTGTGTGCTTGGTTACATGCACTTCTGAGACAACACAGGCTGAGGCTGTGAATTTTACGGCAATGAGCTTTACAAAATTCAAATTATGTCTCCTGATCAACAGCACTTCAAAAACACTATTGTTCACTTTTGTTTAAATGACAATATAAATTTCCAAGTTCTAAAAGAAGATTTTTCCACCACATGGGGGCATCAGTAACTTAAAAATTCATGTTTAAATTAGAAATAACTCTTTGGAAATTATTAACAGCCCTATCTTAATGAAACATAACCTATAACACACTGTATAGCAAGTTTATCTACATATGCAAATCAAACATAAACTCTGAAAACTTGAATTCTGTGACTGACAATATGCTAACACTCGGTGAACAAAGTGATGTTATCACCAATTTAAGAAGTGAGTTGCTATAAATTACACAACTGAGTTTTCCATGTCTTAGGGTATTACTATAGTGCTTTCATCTTTTAAAACAATAATGATACAGTTTCTAACATTTGGAAATTTTATTAATTTTTACATAAGTGTGTGTGTGTGTGTGTGTGTGTGTGTGTGTGTGTGTGTGTATGTGTGTGAAGACATACCTGTTAGACTTTTATACGTGAACACTACTAAGGAATTTTTAATTTTCAAGTACTCATATGAAGGGATTACATGTAAATAAACAAGTTGTATATGAACAAAAGAAACAAAATACAGAAGGTAGCGACATTAAGTTTAAGAAAAGAAAAAACCTAATGTACATGTCAGTCTAGAGCGAAGAAATGCGTACACCATGGAGCTGCCTACAGGTACAGTAGACAGAAGAATGGCCACAGCTGTGACAGTCATTCCCAGGGTGCTCAGGCTGAGAAAATGTGTGCCCCTCCTCCATCTTGTAACCAGTAAGAACAGGTGACAAAACAGACTCCTGGTCTATACACACTGGCATCCCCCCCCCCAAAAAAAAGCATCAGAATTTTAATATCTTAATAGAGACTTGTATAATTAATCAAAAAAAAGTATACTGAGCCTATTCAATCACCAAGAAAAACAAAAACATATGATCAAAAAAGGTTGTGGTAAATGTAAAATTTGTTCCGAAAACTGTATTTAATATAATTCTAAAACTGTAAAAATGGCAAGGGGCTGGGGAGTAACCTGGTTGGAGGGGGGGTGCTTGTGTAGCACGCACCAGGCCTGAGATTAATCCTCAATATTATGGGAGAAAGCTCTACTGGACACAGATTGTTACAATAAATGTAAGGTTTCTTAAATGTTAGTGAGAATAAATAATACTGCAATTCAGCCCCAAGTGTGATCTGCTGCAAGCCCAGGACTACTGGACAAGTACACCCATAGCTCAAGGACTCCACTGAGCAACAGAAGGCTGTGGCCAAGTACTATGGCAAGTCCTTGACCCACACAAAGCCATTAACAGCTTTCAAAACTAATGGTCTAAAATATAGGAGTTATGACTACAGATACTGAATGAACCAATACACTGGGAAGCAATTTATTGAAATCTGTCTAAGAAAAGTGTGTACTTAATACAGGGCAAAGATGACTTGAAATAAACCCTAACAAAAATGTTCAGCTCCTTTTCACTACAGGTGGCAGACAAGTGACTTTCCCATTAACTTCTTGTTTTAATTTCTTTACAATGAGCACTTTCTGAAGGAAAAATGTTATTCTTAGAATGAATACTATGGATATTCTACACAAAACTGTCAACAAGTAAAACTAAATAGACTGGTGAATATTCCTACCCCTCCACAAGCCTTCAAAGAACAGTACAACATTTACCAAGGTGCATAACTGAACCAAGCAAGTATGCTTAAAACACATGGCTTTAAATGCAGCTGTTGATGACTCTGGCTTTAGCACAACTCCTTGTAGAGCTCATGTTACAGTTAAATGCCAATAAAATACACAGCCCAGTCCTGCAGCTTACTGCTCCACATAAATAACAGCTTCAATTTTCAAAATTACATTTAGAATTTGGCAAATACAGTTAAAATGGCAGGTAAAAACAAACCTGCTTATACACATAATTTAATTAAAACATAAATCATCTTAAGAAAAGTTAAAATCTGTCTCAGCATGAAAAGTTTTAGCAGTGACTTTTGTAGTAGCGTTAACTCATTAACACTGGCCTTTATGTTTAAATGCTATGTTGAGTTTACAACGAAATCTAAGGATAAGGAAACGAAGCTAACAAAGTACAGATGGGGCTGTTACCCGGCTCCGTGCATGGGAACAAGTGAGGCGACAGACAAAGCTCCAGTCAGTGCGTTTAAGAAGCACGGTGTGCCGCCACTTGGCAGCAGCAATGGCATACCTATCTGTAGCAGATGAAGAGAATTGGGCAAACTCACATTGTACAACACACAAAGCTTTAAAGGAAAGAAAGTTTTAAACATCTGCATTAACTATTCTTTTCAAGTTATTAAAAAGTGGAACTCAACCTTAAATTTAAAATTCTGCAATAATGTAAAATTATAGAGGCCTATTTTAGGGTGCCAGAAAAATCAAATTACAGTATTGGAAAATGCTTTCCTAGCAACAGAAAACATGCAACTTCTTTATCCAGTAAGTTTAATGTTTTATCTCTAATATTTCACAATATTAAGAATGTTCATACCACTATTAACAAATAATTAAGACAAGAATTTCTTATTGGGCTCTCAAAGGTGAACAGATAAGGAGAATACATCCTAGAGCTGTGTGTGAACACTCACTTCCTACAGAGGGGCTTCTAGACCATCAAGATTATCAAGACATCCTTAACCTCTAGAAACATTGACTAGCTTAGGGGCTAGCATTCTTATTATCTCAGATGATCACATCAGTGACACACATACAACGCAAAAGCAAACAATGAATACATTTGAGTTATCAAAGCTATACTTTTGGTTTTTACTCATTTGAAGCCTTCACCACTGTAGGAAAAATTCACAGTTATACTGTCCAAATCTCAATAAAAGCAAAAGTCTTCCAATTATAAAAGCGCTTTAAAGCCAAAAATGACTGACTATCCAAGGCTATTTAATTATAACAAGACACATTTGTCTCGACTTCATTTTGTGAAAAAGATAAAAAAAATTAGAAGTAATCAATATGAGAATGTGATTACCCTTCCAGCTCACTCCACCTGCTCTGCTGTTAACACAGAGAAACGTGGATAAGGAAAAGTACTGCTCTTTACAGCAGCTCACGCAGACCCAGGCAGGAGGCTCTAGGCTGGGAAATAAGCAGTTCTGCTCTGTGTCACCTCCACCACAGCATCACTTTACATTTCAGGGTGAAGGACTGACAACTGCTATGTGACACATAGTCTGAGACAGGAGGGCCCTCCTGGCACATGAGAAGTAGTCAATTGTTAGGAGAGAAACTGAGATTCCATGGAGAACACTGAGGCAGAGTAATAGATGGGGGGGGAGGGGTTTGCAAAACAGCATTAAAAAGAGAAAAATGTGGTATTTCTAACATTCTCATCCAAGTATAACTCAAATATAGTGGACCTGAATACACGGGCTGTAAAACGCTCTACACCTCTGCCTGTGCCCATGCAAACAACCCTAATTAAATTCAGTGGGCCATGCACAAAGCGGGGGAGGGTTGCAGAAAGGACTCGGCAGGAATGACAAGAGAATGAGAGAATAATAGGGAAATGACATCATAAACATGAAACTGCCTCAGAGTAAAAATAAACACTGAACACAAAGTCCTAGTAACTTCTCAGTCATTATTCCTTAACAGTTCAGGAATGGTTGGGATGGATTTTAAAGCAGGCTCTTGCCACACAGCCCTGGTTGGCCTGGTACCACTATACAGACCACATAGGCCTCTTGAGACCCACGCCAATCTTTATGCCTCAATCTGAGAGCTACAGCCCTGGCTAGGGCTGAGTTTTACAACTGCCTGACTGACTCTGGAGTGTTTTCTTTTCCTGAGCTGTAGTCTAGAACAAATCACTACATTATAGGGATGCAGACACTGTCAAATTCACTGAGTAGCATGCTTAAAACTCCTTTTTGTTTTTAAAGGCAGGATTCCAATATGGTGCCTAAGTTGGCCCTGAACTTCTCAGGCTCCAAGTATTCTATACCTCAGTTTCCCAAATGGCTACGATTCCAGAGACACATCATCACACCCATTTCAATGTGCTAAGATTGTCACAGAATAGTTCAGTGAACACTGAGCTCTAGAGATGCTTTGCTGCTAAAGAGCTTGAGCACGAAGGCCACTCATACCTGCACCTCATTGTGAAATACACATAAACGGAAGTAAGATGGGCTGACAGATGACAGGTGAGGGGGTGATAAGGCACAAACTTGTCAGTTCTAGACTCTAGGTGGCAGGCACATGGGTGATCACTATATACCAAATATGCACTATTTATTTATTAGAAAGATTTATTTTTATACTTGTATTTGTAGATATTTAGATCAAATAACACATACATAGACATATTATTCTAAGGAGTGTGGTGGTATTCCAAGTAAGTAAGCAAAGCTCTACATGATAACATACTAGTTTTTATAAGCAAACATGTTTATAAGATTATGTACCTACTTCTAGCTGTTTTGTCAATAAATGTTTACATGTGTCTGTATATGAGATTTTCAAATGAAGATAAGACTTGTTTTCTTTCTGTTAATTTTTTAACACAGAAACTCAACTGTGAATTTCCCACCCCTTTACTCTGCCCTCCAATACTGGGTTAGAGTACTGCCACACCCATATATGCAATACTGAGGGTGCCACCCAAAGCTTTGAGCATATTAGGCCAGTAACACACCACCTGAACTACATCTGCAGTACCAGAGGGACAGTTTTAATAAGGAGGCCATGGAGATCTGTCTCAGTCCAGCAAGAAGATACTAAGAAATCTCTACACATCCCCTAAGATGTCAGATCTTTATTGAAATTTTAAAATAAAATCAATAGAAAAATATCTTCTAAGTCACCAAAAGAACAAAGCTCTGCATTAGTAGGGGAGAATGGATCTGGTTTAGTGCCAACCAAGTGACTCAGTGTGGTGGCTTTCCTACCTGCAGTGTGCAAAACTAAAGAACTCCCAAGAAAAGATCTTCAATTTCTTCTACTCCTTTGAATTGTCTAAATGCTTACCAACCAACTTCTTGTATTCACTGAAGAGAAAATGAACAATGATTAACAAAGACATAGTAAGCCTCATATGTAGGCTCTTATGAAGAAATGGAGAAATGAAGTCATTGTCAAACCAAAAACATTCTGACAAAAGTAGAGACAGAAAAGCGATCCCAAAGCTTCATCAATTGCTTCTGACATGTCAGCAACTAAAGAATTAGTTAGTTATGATCAAAATATTACATTGGAAGTCAGTCAATAAACAACATCCTAAGTTCCTCACTGCAAGCCTGTGAAATTAGCAAGTTAACAGACAACTCTACAATGGGTCTCCCTGCTCTGGAGAAGACAACTGCTTCCCACCTTCCTTATTCATATGGTGCTATCCACCATTATGCACTGTTCCCACTCTGGGGAAGGATGCACTTCAAAGCCAGGCACGGGCCACTGTTTAACACACACCTGAACTCTAATGCCAACTTTTCAAAATCCCGACACCAATTGATTCTGGAAGGACACCTACCTTGTCTTGTGTCCCCAAGTGCTGCCATCTGTCTGAGAACCAATACAGGGTTAGGACTGTGCTTCAGGAGAACACGAGGCTCTCTCCGAGGTGATAAAAATGGTCTACACTTAAGTGTGGAATTTTTTTTGTTGTTGTTTTGCTATGACCTATGTTTTCCTGTAACATTTACACAGGAGAACGCCAAATAAACATAGGGCACACTTAAAAACTGAGTGTCATCTCACACACACAGACCACAGTGCTTAAAAACTTTCCTTCTTTCTTTTGATCAGATACATCGTATAAAATGCATGTTACAAACACAGATAATATATGTGCTAGCAAACTATGCATGCTTATTAATGCCAAAGCCAGTTTATCACATTGTGATTTTTTAAATGTATGCAGGCATCTCAATATGATGCTGTACAAATTTACTAAGTTGCATCAAATTTACACTTGTGAGAAACTAAGTTAAAGCATACCACCAAGACATCTTGATGATATCAAGACCAGTCCCTTCACTTTGTCCATAATTTTTATCTATTTGTATCTCCTAAGAAAAGCAGAAAACAGTGAGGCTTGAATGACCTTAGAGCAACAGATCAAATGTGTATGTGAATATAATGCAAAAATTAATCCATTATTGTATATGTAAGTTACCCTCCCTTCAAAAAGCTCAGCTTAGCTTTCATGTACTACAACAAAGGAAGTGAACGGCTAAGATTTGTGTAGTCCACAATGCCCTCTCTTTTCTTTTTTTGCTTGTGAGCTGGCCTTTAATGGCTGAGCCATCTCTCCAGCGTGTATGTGTGTGTGTGTGTGTGTGTGTGTGTGTGTGTGTGTGTGTTTTCTGAAGACAAAACCTCGCTATGTAGCCTTGGCTGTTCTGTAGACCTTGCTGACCTCAAACTCACAGAGATCTGCCTGCCTCTCAAGTGATGTGATTACAGATGGGCACCCTGGCTCCACACTGCCCGTCCTAAGATCACTCTAGAATGTCAAAGGAATGCTCCAGGGGCAAATGCATCATTTCTCGTGCATTAAGCTTACCAAATTGTTGGAATAAGGCAGGGTATCTTCTATTTGTAACTACAGATTCAAACAGGTCATTATGGTTTCCTCACCTGAAATACCATCAAAGGACAGTAACAGTGGAACTTCTCGTGAGATGTTCCTGAATTCTAGGTATTGTCTGAACATCCTAACCAGTGTGTGTCAGTGCTTATGCATGGTACTAACAGAGACCTTACAAGGGAACGCCACAAGACCCAACTAGCCTTTCCAGAGACATCAAACAACTCCTGAGAAGGGGGAAAACATACATACAGCCTTTCCATAACTAACACGCAAACACCTACAAAGACAGTAACAAGCAATACAACATGGACTCCTGCTAGAAGGGGAGGGACAGAGACAAGGAGGGGGCACTTCGACCGCTAATGCCAAATTAAAGTCTAATTGTTCTCTTTGAAATACAAGCACTTTATATGTAAATTATCAACAGATGAGACTGACAACTGTTTAAATGAAAAGTACCTATAACAGAGTAATCTGATTTTTTTGGTCCCTTAATTTTTAGTTTTATAAACAAGTTTGTTCTATGAAATGAATGTGCAAAAGAAACATAAAAATAAAAATATGACAAGTTAAAATTATATTCCAAAGAAGTAACAAATTCCCTTTAACTTGCAGTTAAAAATAAAGCTGAGTGTCCACTTTCAATGTAAGATGAAGCCCCTTACTTGAAACTTCATTACGTAAATGTTATCAGACCTTGCACTGAAGTCTCCTGTCTCAAATGGCATTGAGATTTGGTCACCACTCATTACTGTAACAACTGTGTAATCAGGACAGCAACGCATTAAAAGAAACTGTCCACGAGTTCAAGCTTTAGGGCAAACCTAAGGTTTAAATAAAGTGATTCCACACAAGAATTAACAAGATTCAAGACAAAGACTTTAGCTCAGGGTTTTTAACTCTCATCCACATTAACGTATCAAATATGAAAGAGAAATGTTTTTGAAAATATTGCTTAAGGCCACCATCCTTGACAGTGTCCCTTTAGTTGGGTTTCAAGTTAAAGTTAGCCATAATTACTAACAATTCTTTTATTAGGACAGTTCCAACTGTGGATACAGGATCACTAATGGTAAATTTAATATATTTATGACTACTAATTCTTTGGCTTTAGTATACTCACAAAAGCACTTTTTCATTTCGAATGGTCTTCCAGATATGACTACTTTCAAATGAGCTTCCTGTGAAAAGCAGCAGCTTCATAGTTTCAAGAATACTTTTCAAATATTAACTTTTTAGCATGAATTGAACTTTTAAATTTTAAGTTAGTATTTGAAGGTGTTTATTGTTCAGCAACCAAACCTCAAACCACTTTACCCAGTGATCTCATAATGCAACTAGTGACCCTTTGATATGAACACAGAGAATCAAGCTATGTATAGTCACACACACAGTTACACCAAAAGTAACAACTTTTACCTCAGAATATTTAACTACTAACCAAGGCTATTTTCTTTATTATGACTTCATTTGGTATAAATATGAACAAAGACAGTATTCTCTACACCCAAGCCTCTCCCTCATGTCAGCATATAGGCAGGGTTAAAAAGCCTGGAGATATGAAATGCTGCTCAGCTCACAGCACTGAGAGGATTTCCACAGAAACCCAGCAGTGCAGTAGCAATCGGTTCATTTCCTACACTCCCCACTACAGCAAACACGCTTTCAAATCACAAACATCCAAACAGCTTCTAGAAATATATATTTATATGTATGTATTTATAAATATATATGTATACATACAATTATGTCATCATTTTACACTTAAAAAGCCAACAAGAACCACCAACTATTTCTAATAAACCAACCTTTAGAGACATTTTATCCATACATACATATCCCTAATAGCAATTACAATGATTTTTATACCTTCAAGAGAAAATCTTTGTGTATGTTTTAATTCTTGTTTACTGATACAAAGACAAGGGACCATTAAGAGTATACAATCAATCAACTTACTTACTGCTAAGGTCAAACACCTACCTTGTTTCTCGTTGTAGATTATATTCTTACACAACAGGTCATTATGGCAAAGCACCACAGGTGAGCCCAGGCTGGACAGGATCTCCTTCATCCAAGTCATCTCCTCCTGAAGAAGTTGAGGGCTTGGGACATCACTTAGGAACCTTTCCATTTAAAAGAAAAGTTAGAGTTTATTTATCTAACTGAAACTTCTTTCAACTTTAAACTTGAAAGTCTATTTCAGATGTTTCCACTGAATAAGCACATATTCCTGAATTCAAAAATAGACCAGTATGTTCCAAAACTCGAATAAAGGAAACCTTTATAATCAATTTAAACGTAAGACAGTCACACTTTAATCCTAGTACTTCGAAAGCAGAAGCAGATGATCTCTGAGTTCAAAACCAGCCTGGTCTACAGAGCAAGTTCTAGGACAGCCAGGGCTGCACAGAGAAACCCTGTCTCCAAAAAAATAAAAATAAAAATAAAAAAATAAAAAAAAATAAAATTGCAGAGCAAAAGATAAAAACTCTTGGGACTTCAGAACTGGGGGAGGGGCAGTAGAAGCGGTTCCCAGCTTCCCAGCTGTGATGTGCCATTCTGAACACCTTACACTTACAGCCACTTTATATGGATAAGGGTCAAGACACGGTGAATTCATTGAGAGAAGTGTTTTATTTAAAGTTACAGACTAAAAATATTTAATTTATGCAAGAAAAGATGAATGCAACTGATGGGGAGGTCCCTCTGTGTCTATGATTGCCTTACTGGTTGATAAAGTACGGTTGGCCAATAGGAAAGCAAGATAGGTGGGCTAGGAGTCAAGGAGGATTCTGGGAAAGGTAGAGAAAGCGCAGAGTCACCATGGGAGCCAGGGACACTTGCCGCTGGCATCCGATATAGATTTATGATAATTAAGACTGAGCTAGCAGATGAGAAATCCTAGTCATTGGCCAAGCAGCATTTGTACCTAATGTAAGTCTCTGTATGTTACGTGGGACCTTAACGTGGCGGGTGGGCAGAACTTGGGCGGCCTGGCAGAAAGCGCCCACATGATGGCAGGACTCGGGCGGTTCAATTTTCAGAAAGTCCTACAGCAGTGTCTGAAATGGAGACACTCATATTACCTAGTTATCTTAACAGCAAAGCTCTACAGTTTGCCTCAGTGCAGCAGAGATAGACTTTTTTTTTAAGATTTTATTTATTTATTATGTATACAGTCTTCTGCCTGAATGCCAGAAGAGGGTACCAGATCTCATTGTAGATGGTTGTGAGCCACCAGGTGGTTGTTGGAAATTGAACTCAGGACCTCTGAAAGAGCAGTTGCCAAGGGAACATGGCAGGGACAGTAAGTGGTAAGCAGGCCAGTCTGGACCCAGAGGCTGCTGATCTCCGCTCCACTTACATTTATTCTTTCTTTGTGTACATGTGAGCACACTGTGACCTGACAGATCTGGTGTGTGTACATGCACTTGCAGGTGAGCACTCTGTGAACTTAAGAGATCTTGCTTGCCTATGTCATCCTAGAAACAGACTTCCTGCACAAAGATGCAGCCGTAACACACTTTAGATAAGACATTATTTCCAATTTTTATGTTAGTAATAAACGCAATATTCATGATTTAGATTCTAAAGACTTAAAAATAATGAGACATCACAGACAGTTTGAACTTGGGAGCCAAGCCGAAAAAGCTAAAATCCCAGAAAGTAAATTTTCAACTCCGACAATCTGTCAATTAAAAAAACACAGTAACCTAAGTTTTTACAGTCCCAATATACATCTCTAGATGTTTACAGACAGAAACATTTAAAAGGTCTCTAAGGCCAATCATAATTGCTCCACTGTACCCTTTCACAAATGTCTTTATAATTATTCCTAGACATTTGTGTTTTTCTCATCTCCATCCTTCCTTTAATGTTGGCAGGGAAGGTGGGGGCCTTCCAAAGGTGAGGGAGGTTATTTTTGTAGTGTGATCTGAGAGTCATTGGGCTAATGCTTTTGTTCACTTGAGTGCCGAGAGGAAAACAAACTAGTTTTTATACAGGCTTTGTTATCTTTCAGTACTTACTAAGGGCAAAGCAATGCAAATACCTTAGTAACTTACCTTTTATTAATGTCTTCATCAGCAAATCCTGTGGGAATGAGAGAGAAGTATTTCCCCATCTTTAGCCATAGGTTAGATTTGGGGATCCAGCCATTGTGTGCATGGATAGCATGGATTTTAGCAAGCTGACGAGCTATTAGCCTGTTTAGAAACAAAACAGCACAAAAACTTAAGCATAATACAGCTTTATTCAGGTGTCACAACTCAAGTCTCCCCTATCTCTGTGGCATTTCCTTCTACATTCCCATTGTAACAGTGACTCTGCCAGGTCAGGTTAGGTCTGCTTACCATATGCTTAGCCCCAGACTGCTCAGCCTGCACCCCAACTCAACCAGCAGCCTGCTCAGCCTGCAGCCCTGCTGCAGCGCCTCTCAGACCAGGGTGAATGGCTACCATCCCTGACTCCTGATGCCACCCTACAGAAACTTCTGACCTATTAACATCACATTCTGCTCCTTGGCTACAAATTCCCACTGGCACACCTCTACTCACTTAAGCCCAGTTTCTCTTCTCCCTCCAAAAACTAACCCTGCCACAGTCAAGATACTTATCACAGTAAGATACTACTGCGGTTATGATCCCCAGAAGTAAAAGCTATCCTCATCAATGCTATTGCTAGAAAAAAAATCTATTATCCCCACAGAATCTAACTAGTGGGCTTGGCAGGATCTAGCCAGTGAATGAGAGTATTTGAAAACTTCCTGATAACTTAACATAAAAAAAAAAAAATTTTGAGAACTCAAACTAAGACACAGAATCAAGTCTCATAAGCTTGTCATTAAATAAACTTTTACTAGAAGTTTCTACCACATTTATTGTTCTTGTCTGAATTGTTGAAATGGAGTATCATGTACCCTATGTCCTTGGACTTCTGATCCTTTTGTGCCACCTACTGGGACTACAGGCAAGTGCCACCATGCCCAGCTTAACAGTGCCAGGGAACTAACCCAGGGCTTCAAACGTGTTAGGTGAGCACTTTGCCAACTGAGCTACATCCCCAGCCCTCTATCATAAACACTTGAGTTTTACTCACGTGGCTTCTATAATGCTGACCTTAATCCTAAAGCCCATTTGCATCACCAAATTTAGGAGCACACAAACTGACTCACGTCTGCATGAAGAGCACAGCTAAGGGGCATAGCACTTGCCCAGGATGGATGAAGGAGCAGAAACCAAGCATATCATCGTATACTTTTTAAAGCAATAAGGCATAACCCTCTTTTGCTGTTTTTTTTTTTTTTTTTACTTATTTTCTGTGCTAGTGACCACACCCAGGCAAGCAGTCCTATACCATAAACCTTTTCTGCTTTGCTGAGACAGGACCACACTGCTATGCAGGTTGAGTTAGATCTCCAGTGTAACCCAGGCTGGCTTTGAACTTGCTGCACTGCTCCTCTCTCTGCTTCCAGGGGACTGGCAAAACAGCATGAGCCACCTAGCTCAGTTTTGTGATAACTGTTAAGTATATGAGTATGTGTCTATGTGGCTATGTGCATGTGAGTGCCCAGAGGCCAGAAGCATTGTATTCCCTGGAGCTGGAGTTACAGAGAGTTGTGAGCTGCCTGACATAGGTGCTAGGAACCAAAGTCAAGTCCCTCTGCAAGAGGTACAACCCCTTTAACCACCGAGTCATCATGTCTAGCACCAATCAGCTTAAAGAAAATTATTTTTAGGTTGATGTCGCCATGTGCGTCATGTATGTGCATGTATGCATTTGAAGAGCACTCAGGCTTGGAACTTCCTGAGGATGACCTTGAACTCCTGACCTCCTAGTTCCATCTCCCAAGCACAGGTGTGCTCCATGCCAGCAAAGGATCACTCATATGCTATTTCTTCTCTTGTTGGGTGAGGAGGCTGGGTCGTCCTCACTTCCTGCTATTTGTTTGTTCTGCTGGGTGTGGGAATTTGGCTTCTCCTTCATTTCTTTCAGGTTCAGTAAAGATGAGAACTTCCCATCCATAATCCTTTTCAAAATAATTTACTAGTCAGACATGAGTGATTCAAGCTTGTGTTTCCTGATTTTTGAAGTTTCTTTTTCCCAGTGATTAATAAAACCTGCTAAGCATTTAAAAATGTCATAAAAGACATACAAGACAATCTGAAATAAAATGAATAGTAAGGCAAATACCAAATGTAAACCTTGAAACATCAACTAACTTGATTCCTATCAGTTTCTTCTGCTCTTTTAGCCTTCTTTTCAAAAAACAGTCAATTCAATACTTCACTTACTGAAAACCAGTTGTAATACGATATGCTCGAAGGAGTTGAGTCGATGACTGGTTTCTTTTCGAGACAGGGTTTCTCTGTGCATCTCTCTAACTATCCAGGAATTGCACTATAGACCAGGCTGGCCTCAAACTCAGAGATCCACCTGCCTCTCTGCCTCGCATTTCGGGATCACAGGCGTGCACCACTACCACCTGGTATATGGGTTTCTACCGATACACGTTCTACCTAAGTGGTGAGTATATGACCTCTTTATTATCATTCACATATATTCTAAACGAATAGCTCTAACTAAAAGTGTAAGTAAGACCATTTTAATCAAACATAATTATAAATACTAAAATCAGCTCTGACAAACCTTTACTGACTAAAAACTGTAGTTAGTCATCCATCTCTATAGGTCCCATATTCATGAATTCAACCAAGCACAACCAAAATAATCTCAAAAAAAAAAAAAATCTTACCAAGTTACACCTTGCTACATAATTTCCACACAGATACTACTACATGGAAGTACAGTGATGCACCCTTCCCAATCCCAGCTATTCTCTCCCCCCCTCCCTCTCCCTCCCTCTCTCTCTCTCTCTCTCTCTCTCTCTCTCTCTCGCGTGTGTGTGTGTGTGTGTGTGTGTGTGTGTGTGTGTATGTGTGTCCTCTGCCTGTTGTCACTGTCACACACTGGGCACTAGACTTCTCACAACAGCAGACCTGAACTGGACATGCAGCAGCAGTGTCCTCAGGTGCTGGAGAGTAACGCCGACCGGCTTTGGAGAGTGTTCATTTTGCATGTGGGAATAAGTAACACAGAGACAACTGGTGCTGGGAAGCACACATGTTCTAGACACATATCATCTCAAACAAGGGACTCAGCTGAGTACCCACAGACTTGGTATCTGTGGAGGGGAGGGATCTTGAAATCCACCACTCAAGGACATTAAGAAAGAGCTATGTAAACATTCCACTCCTCCCACTTTAGGCTGCTTAAAAAAAGATTTATAAAGTTTTCTTGGTAAAAAAAGAAACTATATCAGGAAGAATTATGTGACCATAATGCTGAGAAAGTAATAGAATGGTCTACATTCACTTTGTCTGCTCACTTCAAGTCTAACATGTCATGTTTTCTATTACACTCTATCTTAATTCATAAGGACTTAGTCACCTATCAGTGTTCCAAGACAGCCAGAGCAGTTAGAATAAACAAAAAACAAAAAAGAAATAAAGAAAACTTTTTATATATTGTTTAACAGAATTTCAGCACAGGCAAATGATTTGACACACTTCATTTTATTTGGAGCCTATCCTGGCACTCGCTCTGGAGACCATGCTGGTCTCGAACTCACAGAGATCTGCCTGCCTCTGCCTCCCGAGTGCTGGGATTAAAGGCGTGCGCCACCAATGCCCGGCTCACTGAAATTTTTTAAAGTACAATCCACAGACTCCTTTCAGGAGGGTCCACTGGAAAGCTCTATCACGAGACATTATTTACCATGCAACTCTTGTTCTCTCAAGTGCAGCTGAGTCTACCTGAAATGGTACTGACAGCTAACCCACGATGCCCCTTGATACTCTTCACATCCTAAAGTGCTTCACCTTCTAACGCACATATTGGTAAATATGGATCAGACAATCAAACACGTCTGCTGGGTCTTCAAAACTCCCTTTCTTGGGGAGAGAGAGGAAGAGAGGGTCTCATGTAGCCCTGGCTAACATCAAAGTCTCTAGGTGGCTCGGGATGACATGTACGGCCTACCATGCCTAGCTGTTAAAAATCTGCAAAAGGCCAGCCAGCAAATTCTCTGAATCTGACTCCAGAAACCCACAGTGAAGGGAGAGAACCCACTCCAGCAAGCTGTACCCTGACCACTAAAAATGTGGAGTGCCACAAAAACACCCAAACACTCACTCTCTCTCTCTCTCTCTCTCTCTCTCTCTCTCTCTCTCTCTCTCTCTCTCTCTCTCACACACACACACACACACACACACCTCTCTTTCCTCCCCTCACCCCCCCCAAGCTATAGATGTAATTTTTAAAAATTTGAATATATTTCCTTACAGCACATATTCTTTTTCTAAGGGAAGAATTTAGAAAAGGAAGTCACCTGAAAATGGCTGGGTTGCAGACATGCTGTGGGTCCAAAGCTTCACCTTGTATAAACTCATAGCACAGTCCGTTATTAAAGGTACAATAGAGCTGAGGTGCACAGCCATGAGCCTGCAACACACGGAAACTCTTCACTTCTTCATCTCGGTCGACCAACAGTTCAGTCTTGTTGCCGTAGATTCTCACCAGAACTACATCTTCCATGGTGTCCCCCACGTAGCAGGCAATGAGTTTATTTGTGATCCCATCTGTAAAGAGCTGCCAGAGAAAGCAGAAAAGACAGAGAGATTCAATTACACATGGATGTAACTGGAGGTAACCTGATAGGTGAGTGAAATGGTTAAGTGGGAACACCAGAGTGTTGGGTATAGCCAGACCCTCGGCTCAATCTCCAAAACCCAGGGGGAAAAACAGTCGGAAGAAAAACACCTGGTTTTTAACATCCACGGGGATCCTCTTGGAGAACATGGGACCACAGCTCAGAAGCAGAGTGCTTTCCTTAGCAGGCAAGTCCCATGGTCACCAGCAGCACCAGGGAGTGAGTCCACTTGGGAGAGACAGACAAGCTTGATATGAACATGACTCTAAATTAACAAGATGCCTCAGGGTGAGAGCATTTAGCAGCACACCCTGACGCTGCTAGGGAAAGGAGCGCTACTGAGTGAGAGCCGCCCCTGACCTCTGCTCACAGGTGACAGCATGCACTGCCACTGGTATCTAAGAACAGCCAGGTGTGAAGATGACTCACACTGTAACACCAGCACTCGGGAAGATCCTGAGTTCAAGGCTAGCTGGGGTTATACAGTGAGCTCCAAGCCAGAGTGAAACTGTCTCACACTGTCCTACCTACTGTATAATCTCCCTGCAAAACAAAACACAGTTTGAGAGGAGCAAAGAAATACATATTTACATTAAATGCAAGACGAATGCAATAGTTCACTTAAAACCCTGACTACCAGGGAAACTAGTACTTGCTGTGCCAACAGAAAGCTTGTGCAGACACCCGAGAGGGAGCACACCCTTCTGAAATATAACTAAGCCTGGTCTGACAACCTCAGCTCACCAAGCTTTAGCGTCTAAATCTGAAGGTACCAATACCTTTAAATATATATGTAGCAAAAACAGATACAAAAAACACCCTCATAACTGTTGGGAATGCACACACAACTCTAGTTGTGATTTTTCAAAGACAGAGAAAATTGCTTTGATGTAAGTGGTTGAGGACACTCATGGAACACACACCACCTCTACCTGGAGGTACCTTGTCTCCAAGACTGTATGCACAGAAATGACTGGCTGGATTATAAGGAAGGCCTAGGTACAGCCAAAACTTAACATTCAAGAGCACTTTCTGAAATAACTAGAAGTGACCTAGACAGCAACAAAAGATGCACACACATCTTTAAACACAATGTTTAACTCGTTCAGAAATGGCAAGTCCATTAGAAATGAATCAAATGCACACCCAAATTGTCTATGAGGGGCAGACATAGCTGGGTGGGAATTTAGAACATGTCATACTGAACAGCAATACACACGTCAAGCAAGTGGCATGTCTCCTATCATCAGAAGCAGAAGTCTGAGTGCTAGTCCACCGTATCCTAGTACTGGTGTCACTGAGGCAGACAGGAAGTGAGAAGAATAAAACTTAGTTCAGAAAAAAGAGCAATGCAAGCTTCCACAGGGGCTGTCAGCCCCCACAGAGCAGCCTGCTCTCAGCAGAAAGACTAGTCACCTCCCAACAGAAGACAGACTTAATAGGTTGTATCTGTCCTCCTAGAGTTGGCAAGGTGATATGTGACACGCATGCTTAAACAGCACAAAGCATCAAAGAATTGAGTCTGAAATGGCAAAATTGCCACATACAGTGACAAGCTCAGCACAGGCCATGTGGTCTGTGTAAGGCAGTGTGTCAGGCCCATGGCCAATTCCTACAAGAAAGGTAGAGAAGACTGCAGGAGAGACTGCCTTAGCCTGCACACAGCAAAGGGTATACAAGTGAAACAGGTGATGTAAGTTTAATGTATTAGGAAAGGACAGTGATTACAAGGGAAGGGTATAAATTAGTGGTGTCCTACACATCTAACAGGAAGACATGGCCTGGATTCAACCCTCCAGACCCATCACACACACACACACACACACACACACACACACACACACACACACACACACACACACACAAAAAACAGAACCAATTAAAACGCAGGTATGGTGCAGACCTGTAACTTTTAGCACACCAGAGGTTGACAGGAGGGATCCAAGTAAAAAAAACAGCCCAGGCTACTAGTGAGTTGAAAAAAAAAAAAAAAAAAAAAAAAAAAAAAAAAACCCAGAAGCTAAAAATAGAAGAGAGGAAGGGAAAAGAATAATTTCTTCATAAGACTTAACAATAGATCTTACACATGTATCATTAGGAACAACATACAAAAAAAAAAAAAAAAAATTCTCCCAAGCTGATCCTGAAGCTCAGTGAGACATTACAAAGGGAAGACAACACAAGGTCTCTTGAGCAGTCGTAAGATGGCTGTGACAGGCCGGGCAGTGGTGCCGCACACCTTTAATCCCAGCACTCGGGAGACAGAGGCAGACGGATCTCTGTCAGTTCGAGACCAGCCTGGTCTACAAGAGCTAGTTCCAGGACAACCTCCAAAGCCACAAAGAAACCCTGTCTCAATTAATTAATTAATTAATTAATTAATTTAAAAAAACCAGATGGGTATGACTACACAAGATTGTGATCCCAACACTCAGGAAGCTGAAGCAAGAGGACTATACTCCTGAGTTGGAGGACAACCTGTGCTGACCTTGTCTCAAAAAAAAAAAAAACTAATAATACAGAGACACATCAAAACAGTATAACATTTCACTAAATTTGATTTACTCCAGAATGCAAAGGTAGTTTAATGTTCAAATTTTCAAAATCACTGCATATACCTCAATAACAAAATATGAATGCACTAATTACTTTCTATACCAACGTATAATGTAGCCCAGGTTGGCCTTGCATTATATGGCTGAGGATGACCTTGAACTCCTCATCCACCTCTTTCCTCAGTGCTGAGATTACAGACATGCCATCATGCCCAGGGCTCTCTGTTTTTCTTATTTTTAGTTAATATGTATGTATATGAGTGTTCTGTCTGCGTGTATGTCTATGCAACATGTATGTGCCTAGTGCTTGCAGAGGCCAGAAGAGGACATCAGACCCCCTGAACTGCAGTTACAGATGACTGTGAGCTGCCATGTGGGTGCTAAGAATTGAACCTGGGTCCTCTGGACGAGCAGCAAGCTCTGAACCACATCTTACATACGTACACAAATATGTATTTGTATATAATTTATATACAGAGAAAGAGCAGTCTGCATCTATGAGTTGTGAATCTGTGGCCTCAAACAACCCTGAATTAAAACTATCTGAAGAAAAGAGACCACACCAGCACTCACCAGACTTTGTAGGTCATTATTCCCTGCACATGACAGCATCACACTGTACTAACATGAGTCCACACGCTAGTCGCATGCAAGACCTTTTGACATGTACAAGGAACCTGGAACACCCCACACTGGAGAGGATGCATCAGAGGAGCAAAGCTTCGTCTCTGAGGGGCAGAAATTCTTCACTATTTCAACAGTCTGTAGTTTTGAACTCAACCTTGGAAATTATCAATTTGTAGGAAGAGAAAACCATGTCATTGGTAAAGCTGTCCTACTTATCTAAGCCACAGAGTACCAGAACCCATGTAACCTTGATGCTATCTGTATCTAGGTCGGCAACACAAGCCCAGTCATTACCTGGGAGAAAGAACAGGAGCAAAGAGCGCTGACCCCTGAGCACTGAGGACTGTCCTGTCAGAACACTGCCAGCTGCTAACAGGACTTCAAGGTGAGCAGAATCCAGCAGTGACAGGATCAACTCCACAAGAGTTTGGGTCACAGCGTCTACAAGAATGTGCAAAACATCGAGAAAGCGTTTGACTCCTGGCTGTTAGCCATACTTCCTTAAAAAAAAAGGGGGGAAAGGCTGACTAGGAAAAGACAACAAAGGCAAAGCAGGAATAGATGTGGACTGTACTCAGGAGGCAGCTCCCTGCTTACCAAGACTACTATAATGGGGTGGGGGCACACACACTAAAGACCAGGTAACCAAGGGTAAAGGAGCTGCCTCTTTTTCTAAATCAACTGGACAAGGTAAGTGACACAAGACTAAGGCCAGCTTAGCTACATAGTGAGTTATAGGCAAGCCCGGGCTACATAGTACGATAATTTCCGTATGTGTACATGTATGTGTACACATATACATGCATATATATATGTGTGTGTATGTATCTATGTATGTATGTATGTATGTATGTATGTATACTTCTGTGGGTGATTTTGCAGGCTAAATTTCAGAGCAAAGCTATGGCTGGGATAATGGTGAACCCAAAACTCATTACTAAAGAGTCTTTGACAGCTGTGACATGCCGGCATGCTGCAATCTCACTGCAGGAACTGCGAGCTGGTGAAATGAATACGAGGGAACAGACTTTGGAGAGGGACCCACCTGTGCTGCTCTTGTGTGCATTTAATACGAGTGAGCTACCTAAGCTGTGCACACAGGTGCCGGCCTGGCTTCATAAGGGTCAAAACCTCAATGGCTTACTATGGCCCACATCTCAGCAGAGTAATCACACTCCACCCATCTTTTCAGTGCCACTGTGAAAATGCTCTGTTCATGGGGAACACACACGTAACATGGGTGGATCTCATCTAATCAGCTGAAGGGCCATAAAACAAAAATAAATATTCCTAAAAAGATTCTGCTTCAAGACTGCACTATCAACCCACACCTGAGGTCTTAGGAACTACAGACCTGCCAGTTGTCACAAAAGCCATTTTTCTCCAGAGAACCTGGACATGTGCTTTATCATCTTTCCATTCTAGTAAGGACTTACTCTATGGAAATACTCAGTAAATCCATCCAAATCACAGAAGTATACATACAAGCAGTCTGCTAGAATACTGTTTTAACTTCCCTAAAAGAGCTTCAACAATGTGAAAGGAAAAATAAATGAAGGACAAGCCACAGATCCAATCCTCATAATCCCAGTCTGCGGGCGATATCAGCAACAGGAGCTTATGTTCAAGGGCAGTCAGGGCTACATATGTCACAAATAAATAAATAAATAAATAAATAAATAAATAAAATAAATTAGTCACCCACCCCATTCCCATTTTTTTGAGAAAGGGTCTCTCTACATAGCTCTGGTTGTCCT